AAAACAGACTGCTGACAGTTTAAAATGGCTTTCCAGACTAAAATAGTCCTGGGTGAACAGAAATATTTTGGTCTGGCACCTAAAAGAAAGGAAAGTAGATGCCAGGTAAACCTCAAGGGGAAGGGCATTCCAAAAGTGAGATTGCCACTACTGAAAAAGCCCTATCTCTGGTTGTCGCCCACCTCACCTCTGAAGGCAGGGCCACAGAGAACAGGGCTTATGAGGCAGATCTTAACTGTGTGGGCTAGACATATGGGAGGAGGCAGTCCTTCAAGTACCCTAATCCCAAGCCATTTAGGGCTTCAAAAGTAAGAACTTTGAATTTTGCTCAGAAATTAAATGGGCAACCAGTATGGATCTTTTAACACTGGGGCAATAATCTGTGTGTCACGCCCATGACAATAGCCTGGCAGCTGCATTTTAAATAAAATGATATTTTCAGACCATTTTCAAAGGCATTAGGAAGAGCATTACAGAAATCTAACCTGGATGTAATCTGAGCATGAATCACACTTTCTGAGGAACATGGATGGAGTGTCAGCCAAAGCTGATACAAGGCACCACATCCTACAGAAGACATCTGGGCCTCCAACTGTTGGTTAGGATCCAGCAGTATCCCCAAGCTAGAAATCTGTTCCTTCAGGGGAAATGCAATATTCCCCCTCCCAGTACAGACTGACTCCGGGATCCTCAAGCAGCTTTGTTAATGACCAGCATCAACTCAGTCTTGTCTGGTTTGAGCTACATTTTGTTAGACCTTATTTATCCCATTACTGTTTCTAGGTACTTGTTCAGGACTTCCACAGACCCACCTGACTCAGCTGTTAAGGAGAAGTAGAGCTGTGTGACATCCGCATATTGGTGGCACCTTACTCCAGATTCCCTCATGATCTCTCCCAGCAGTAGATGTGAAACATCACAGGGAACACTTTATTTGGGTGAACAAAATGTTTTGGCGTGGCCTAAAAATAAGCAACGCAGATACTAGTAAAGGCAAAGATTTCCCTTGCTCAAAAGCCAGTTGAATTCAACTCAAGGGTGTGATTCTCATCTCCGTTTCTAAGCCAAAGAGCCAGTGCTGTCCAAAGATGTTTCTGTGGTCCTGTAGCTGGCATGACTAGATGCCAAGGCGCACGGAACGCTGTTAACTTCCCACCACAGTAGTACCTATTTATCTACTTGCAATTTCTTGCTTTTGAACTGCTAGGTTGGCAGGAGCTGGGACTAGAGGCGGGAGCTCACTCCATCATGCGGCACTCGGGTCTCGAACTGCTGAACTACCAACCTTCCAGTCTGCAGTTCAGCATCTTAACCACTGAGCCACCGCAGCCCCTAATGCAGATAGACAAGCCTTAATTCATATATATCCCACCTATCACCTCAGTAAAGACCCAAAGTGGCTTAGATCTTTTCTCCTCCAATTTATCCTCACAACAACCTTTGAGGTGGGTTAGGCTGATTGCGAGTGACTGGCCTGAGGTCACCCAGCTAGATTCCATGGCAGAGTGGGGATTTGAACAGGAATCTCCCAGAGTCTACTTAGACACTTTAATCCCTACACCATGCTGGCTCTCAGCAAAGTGAAACTCTGTGGGACCCCATGTCATAATTGCCATGGGACTGAGCAGCAATCCCCCAACACCACCTTCTAGAATTGGCCAGTCAAGTAAGACTAGAACCACAAAGCATAGTACCCCTGCTCCCAGCTTGGCCAGCCTTTCCAGAAAGATACTACGGTTGATTATATTGAACGCTGTAGAGAGGTTCTGGAGCATCAACGGGTACATACTCCCCTTGTCACTTTCCTGGCAAAGAACCAAGGCCATTTCCATCCCAAACCCAGGCCTGAATCCAGACTAAAATTGGTCTAAATAATTCAATCCCCAAGACTGCCTGAAGCTATGTGGCCACCATCCGCTCAAGGACCTTGCCCAAAAATTGAATGTTGGCTACTGGGCAGTAGTTGTTCAGGTCAGTGGACCAGCGATGCCTTCTTCAGGAGGACTAGAATGACTACCTCATTCAAAGTGGTTGGAATTGCACTCTCACTCAGAGAGGTGTTTATTATGTCCTGGACCCATTCAACTAGCCTAGCCTGGCTTTATACCAGTAACCACGAAAGGGAAGAGTCAAGTATGGATGTGGCAGGCAGCATACTTCTGAGAACCTTGTCCATTTCATCAGGCATCACCAACTTGCCATACTTCTGTTGGCTTATTAAGAATGAGTTGAAAGTTAATACATATAGATATCAAGCTTTGACAAATTTTCTTTGGTTTTAGGAGCTGGCCCAAAAATTTAAAATCCACTCATTTTTCAGCCTTCAGAGTTTACTGTTTAATGAACACATTTTCCAATTATTGCTACCAATTCTATTAAAGCAACGACAAACCAACGACAAACATGTTGTAGTATATAAATAAATACAAGTTTAACCCAGATTTTAATCACCATAGTAAAAACCTAACCTCTGACCCTAGCCTAATGCCCAGTTCTCCATATTTTAATTATTGTATGAAAAAGCACTACTTAATGGAGTGTTGAAGCCAGTACAGAAAGCAACTAGCAAAGAAATGAATTAATATACTACCATTGAATGGTATCAACTTAATATACAAACGAGCAGTGAAAAGAACTTCATTTACATGCATTTTATGTCACTCAACAAAAATTATGATGTGAAATGAAATAAGTTTTACATTTCTTCTGTGGATCGCTAAGAGACAATACAATAAAATAATTGTTCAAAATTCTGGGCGCCACAGTAAAATTTCTGGACACCATGGTGACCTGGCACCTGGGATTTGTCAAGTCCTGGTCTACATTTATCGGATATGTTTAAAGATTTGGTACTAGAAAGTATCTGAGGGAAAAGCAAACACTCTATGCTGATTATCTGCGTACGAGATAGGGTATTATAAAAAGCATTAACTTGTTATGAGGTACAAATCAACCATGTGCCATTGTACTATTCAATTTTTAAACGTTACTGGTTACATTTTCCACTGTTTTTGGAGTAACATGATATTTGAATATAATCAGGCTGATTTTGCTACACTGTGCTAATCAGCAGTGTTAACAAATGTGTTGTGCACAGCAGGTAGTTTCTCTACCCCCATTCCTGTCTGATGAAGGAGAGTTGTATTATCATAATCTTCTTTTTATTAAAAAAATATCCTTGAGGGAAATGACCACCTTCTAAAATATGCTGCCATTGCTATGCAGTATAATCTTCTGTGTCCTTTTGACAGTCTTGCCTACATTGTGATGCATACATAATGATATGTATGTATAAAACTAGGGGTGTGCATTTGGCTATATCCGAGCTGAAAAAATAGCTGGAAAATGCCTGATCTGTATTTTTTTGGCTGTTCTTTCAGCCAGATATAGATCAGAGTATTTTTTCAGCTATCCAAAATACCCAAGCCCCCAAATATTTTGGGGATTTTTCAGGACAGCCAGATAGCCGAAGTTAAAGGGCATTTAAAGGGATTACATTTCCTTTAAATGCCTTCCAGGTGAACTCATGGCTTGGAGAAAGTGTTTCAAGTGAATGCAAACCCTTTGAATGCCTTCAGAGTTCACTCACAGCTTGCAGAAGCCATTTAAAGGGGCTGCAATCCCTTTAAATGCCTTTCCCCCCTTCTATTGAAACCAATGGAGGATGGGGACACCTTCTTCAGGGGACCATAGAATTGGAGGGCCAGCAGCTATTTCGGTGCCTCTACCTCAGAAAACAGGGCCCTCCCCAGATACCCCTGGATCTATTCTCCATTATATCCTCTAGGGACCATTGACTATAATGGTCCCTATAGGGTATAATAGAGCCCAAAAAAATGTGATTTCCAAATAATCCTGAATCTGAATACCATACCAGTATTGGGATTCGGGAATATCAGACAATAGTGGTTTTTGTGTGTTCGTTGGTTGGTTGGTTGGTTCAACATACCTGAACCCGAAAAATGCTGATTTTTAAAAAACATACAGCTATATAAAACTGCATAAGGAAAGATCTGATTTGTTTCTGTTTTCTGTACCATTTGGATGAAGATTGGTATGAGAGTTAATATGGTGTGTCGTAAATGCCATACTATGTTAAAATGAGACTAAAACATCAAAAAGTGCATCTGAATAGAATTGTTAACATGCTAGTTGATGTACAGCTGCAGTGTTCAGTAGGAGTAGAATGATGTAACTGTCAGTTTCCACAGTTTCAGTATTTTGTAAACCACTTTGGTAACAGCAGTTAGAGTACGGGTCCCCAAACTTGTTGAACTTGTGGCCACTTTTGGAATTCTGAAGAAAGGTGCCACTGCAAAATGGTTATTGTGTGATGTTGGGCCAATTACAAAATGGCTGCTGTTGGTGAGGGATCAATTGTTTGCTTTAGGGAAGAGATGCTGAAAGAAAGTGGGAGAGCTTGTCAACTGTGTGGCGACAGGGATAGGTTGCCACTCTGTAACATAAAAATCTGTATCTGTGCTAAGCCAGGAGTGTACAGTTGACAACCATATGCTCGTTCAGAACAAGGCCAGTGCTTTACTAATGAGTGAGCTGGGAGGGGGCATCTCATCACTCCCTTTCCCCCCCCCAGTCCATTCAAGACCCTTTGGATTTTATAGCCAAGACTCAAGAAGCAAGGAGGCACTAGAAAACACCTCTGTAATGTATGCAGTAGTGCCCATGGGCATTAGAGATTGCTGGATTTGTTCATCACACTGGGACTGGGGACCAGTTATCTCAGGCTAGTCAGCCTGAATTATCTCTTTGAGTTGTTTTGAGGATAAAATGGAAGAGACTCATGTACACCACACTAAGCTCATTGGATGAATGGCAGGCTGTAATTGTGATAGTTTTTTAAATAATATCTCAGTATTAATGGAATTATCCAGTGCTCAGTAGAAATTATTTTATTTTAGAGATAAATTGTATTTTAAATTCTTCTAAAAGTTCTTAATAGTAAAACTGATTTTTTATTTTTTATTTTTTGGCTTTATCAGACATCGGGAACAAGAAAGAAAAGAAGCAGAGGAAGCTAATCACAAAGAAATAGAAGAATGGGACAAATCCCTCCTTGGTCAAGCAGCACCCACTCATATGGAACACATGTGGGAAATCCCAGCTATTGGTCACTTCCTTTGTTTAGCACAGCATATTTTAAACTTGCCCGAAATAGTCTTCTATGAGTTAGAACGCTGCCTTCTAATGCCACAGTGTAGTGCTTTTTTGTCTAAAATAATGACTTCTTTGTTAAGTCCTCCTCATCGGAGATCTACCTTGCATCGAAGGCCAACTCTTCCTTACAGGACTTGGGAAGGAGCACTCCGGCAAAAAATACAGCAGTGGTATACAGCTGTGGGGCAAACTGACAATCCTGACAGCTGTGCAGAAAAACTTGGTCTTTGTCCTCAATTTTTTCAAGTTCTTGGAGAAGTTAACCCTTTGGAGGAAAAAGCATTTCATGAGCTCTCATTTTGTCAAAAAGTGTGGCTGCTAAAAGGCCTTTGTGACTTTGTATACGAAACCCAAAAAGATGTACAAGATGCAGTACTTGGGCAGCCTATCCATGAGTGCAGAGAAGTGATTCTAGGTTATGATTATTTAGAAAATGCCTATGTTCATTTCCCACAATTCTGTGGTGCAGATGTCCGGATTTACAAGCAGAGGCCTTTTCATGCCCCTGAGTTTCCAGCTCCTCAAATCAAGGTAAAAAGAGTCCCACGCATTAAACTGGAAAAAGTGAAATGTGAATATGCCACCAAAAGCAATGGGGAAGTTAGATGTGGTGCTAAAGAAGAGCTCCTGTCTCATGCAAAGACAGAGCATAGGAAAAATCTTTGCTCAGCAAAGATCCTTTTAGACCGTTTGAGTGTTGCCCCAGAAAAAGAAATTAAATCCAAATGTGAAGAAAAAATCCATAAGGGCTGTGACTTTACAACAGATTGCTGTAAAGAAAATAGGGATAAAAGCATTGTTGTGGGAGAGAATGCTGGCTTTGGGGGACCTCTTAGCCCAGGAGAAATCAGGATTGTGGAAAATGGGGGGAAATGTGGTGAATCTTCAGTAGTGAAAACTGAGGCTACTCCATTAAAAGAGAACACTCTTAAAACCTGCCAGATGCATGTGAATGGGAATCACAGTGATAATCCAGATATGAATTGCCACAAAGTTGCTCCAGAAGTCAATTCAGTAGAAAATAGCAAAACACTAAAACTTAATAAAGTGCGAGCAAAAAAGAAGAAAAAGAAAAAAAAGAAACTGAAAGATATTCTGAGTGAAAAGCTTAAGAGGAAGCGTGAGATTCACCTTCACTCCCTGAAATCTTATAAACCTGAGATCCAGAATAAGTTGCTTATGATGAAAAAGAAAGTCAAACACAAGAAGCACAAATCTGGTAAGGTGATTTTTACTCTTGATACGGGGAAGGTGATTTGAGCTGTGAGTGTACATCAGTTCTTGTGGGTGGGTTTTGATACCTGTTTGCCCTTTTGCCTAAAAATGTTTGCTGGTTCCTAATAATATGAAACTGATATTCTGGAGTCTTAAGTGTTTTTTCAACTCAGATTGTGTGTTGAAACAGTAGCTCTAGAAACAAACTTTGTTCACAGAAGTAATGACAAAAACTCATGAACTACAAAAGATATTACTGTTCAGCTAGCAGTTGCTGGGGAGTTCTTTAGTAAATAGTTGCACTGTGCCTCATTGGGCTTTTTTTTGTTTGTTTGTTTTGGTCAAAGACCTATCCATGCTATGCTGTGATATTGTGGTGTGGTTATGTTTGTCAAAAGTGCACAAAACTACACTAAATGTGGTTTTTTGACATACCTTCTTTCATTTTTGGTCAGTTTGGTAGAACTTCCACTTAATAAATTCTCTAGTTCATTGCATCCTGGGCAAGTGCATATAACTTTGGCCATTTGTAATTTATTTTAATTTATTTTTCAATGATTTGTAGCCATATACTGAGAAAGCCTGCAATCATTTCTTTCTTGACATAGTAGCAATCACAAATCCGTTTTTACTACAGAAGTAGAGTATCCAGAGTGTTCTGTATTCAGCCGTTCGATAGTGTTGAGAAGCTTCATGGAGTGCAGAACTCAGTGTCTTTCTTAATGAGAGGAATAGATTGTTTTCCAGGATGCTTCAGTTAAAAGTGCCTTGTCAGCAAAATGTACAAATGCAGGGGAAGTTACAGATTCATCCTTTAAAAGTGAAATTGTTGCTTCTCTCTCTGAGGTGGAAGACATCTCTATGGGTTAATCCCACCATGCCTTTAGGGAGGCAGGAAATAGTTTTTTCCCCTTCCTGTTGGCGCCTCTGGAATAGCCCATCCCTCAGTTCTTTTCCTGCCTCTGAAGGGAGCAGCAGCATAGAGCAAACTAGGCTTCAGTCTGTAGCTTGATTCCTATTCTATCCTCAATCTTCTTCTTCATTACCTTCCTCTTGCCTTCTCCTTTGAAGTTTCTCCTTTTTTCCTCTCCCCCTTCTCTTTTTTCCTGCTTTGTCCTCGAAGCGAAGACTTCCAAAAGGGGTCCTCGTGACCCAAAAACTTCAGCTTTGCAGTCCGCCCAGATGGCGGCTACGAAGTTGCCCAATGACTTCTTGTTGGGTGAAGAGGAACAGACGCGTGCTGTGGAGCTGGCCATCATGCACAGCAGCTGTGGGGCCGATCTGCCGGAGAGGCTAGATCGAGCCACCCCGACTAACGCGGCTGACCTGGTGGCGGCGCAAAGCGCCCAGAAGCACCACCGGCAGCCATCGGAAGGATAGCCTGCTATTTTCCCAATGCGGATGTGCCCCGCTGGTGGCCATTTTGGTGGCCCAGCCTTGAGCTCCAGTACCTCCCAGATGTCATTCCTAGTGCCTGTGGGGGCTGAAGGAGCCTTGCAAGCTGTCCATCAGGACTCCCCCAAGAGAGAAGGTGATTGGGGAGAAATGCCTTGTCCGGGTAAGACACCCGAACCGGCGGCCCTGATCCATTCATTGGACCTTGGCTGTAATCAGACAGGCTGTTAATCAAGAAATGTCCAACTTTTACAGCAGACCAGGGAATGTTCCCCAGGGGGCTCCCTCCCTACAGGCTACTCCATCCCCCATTTCCTCCTCCTGACCCACCAAGTCAGCACAAAAGGCACCCCTCTTACACCAGAGGAGACCCAGGGGGGAACACTGGGGTGAGGAGGAATCAACAACAGGTTCTGTAGATGATAGGGAGGAGGGGGAGTTCCTCTCTGAGGAAAAAGAGGAGGAGATCAAATTACCTGAACAGTCCAGACGTTTCTCCAAGGCAGAGGACTACCAATACCTGTTAATCAAGGCCATCAAGGCTTTAGAGATTCAGGATCTCCCTCCTTCCAAGTATCAAAAAGTCTCTAGAGCTAAGTTTAAATCTAAATCCAAGGGAAATTCAGAGTTCTTTCCTCCTGAAGAGTATACTGAAAAGGTTTTTCCATTTCCTGAATATTTTGAAGAATAATTGAGAGCTGAGTGGGACAGACCCACAGCTAACAAACAGTTTCCTGTATTTGCTAAAAAATTATATGCTTTATCTAATTATGCTAATGAGTTGTTGCAGGTGTCTCCTGTGAACGGTCCTGTGGCGGTGGTTCAGTCTTTGGGGATACTGTCTGAAGATGGACAGGGCACAATCAGGGATTCCACAGACAAGAAGACTGAGGGAATACTCAGGAAGATATATGAAGCCATTACCATGATGGTAAGGGCAGCATCTACAGCTTCCATTGCCTCCAGGGCCGCCATTGTGTGAATCTGTAAATTGATCCATCTTATTCCAGAAGACAATCGGGGTTTGTTGGAAGGTGCTACCCGCATCCTCAAGGCCAACTCCTTTACAGCATATACCACTCTGGACATCATCTCTTTTGCGTCTAGGGTGATGGTATCTACAGCAGTTGCAAGGAGGCTTCTCTGGCTGCAAGCTTGGCAAGCCAATGCTCTGTCAAAATCCATTCACACAACATATCCATTCCAGGGGGTTCAGCTGTTTGGAGAGGCCTTAGACAAGATCTTGGCAGAGACGCGAGACAAGAAGAGGGCCATATCGATCTGAAAGGAATGGAAACCATTCTCCCTGCCAAGATTTTGTCAGGATACCAAGAAGACACCTTGGGAACCAACTAGAGTGTCAGGCAAGCAGAGTTTCTTCGCTTCCAGGTTCCACAAGTCAGTGTTCAACAAGAACGAGAGAGGAGAGCGTGAGGCCAAGCCCAAACAGGAATGACTACGAGTCCCTGCCAGTAGGGGGCAGCTTTCACCACTTTGTTGCAGCTTGGAATGAGTCTCAGGTGGATGCCTGGGCAGTTGAGGTGGCATCCCAGGGCTATACTGCAGAATTTCATTGCCGCCCGCCAGAATGGTTCCTGAGCTCACTAATCAGCAAATCACTGAACAAGAGAGCAGTAATCAGCAAAGCTCTGCAACATCTGTTGGACATCAGGGCCATTGAGCCGGTTACCCCCCTCGAAAGGAGGCAGGGCATCTACTCCATCCTGTTTATGGTTCCCAAGAAGAATGGTGATTGGAGAGCCATTTTGGACCTCATGTTTCTGAACAAATACATCAAACTCCTCCATTTCCGCATGGAAACCTTAAGAACCATTACAGAGTTCCTGATGCCGGATGAGTTCCTGACTTCAATAGATCTTACAGAGGCCTACCTCTATGTTCCCATACATCCCTCTCACAAGCATTTCCTGCGTTTCTGCATGAGCAACCAACATTTCCAGTCAGGGGATCCATGTCCACCTGTTTCTAGATGACCTGCTAGTTTGAGCCAGTTGTCGGGCTGACTGCATCAGAAACACAGACACAACACTAAGATGTCTTCAGAACCATGGGTTCCTGGTCAGTCTCGACAAGAGTTCTCTCCAACTGACTCAAAGGATCGAACATCTGGGGGTGGTAATCGACACCACCTGCAATGTGCTTCTCTTGCCAATGCCCAAGGCCAGGAAGATCAGAGAGATGGCATCAATGGTGCTTTGCAGCACCTTGTCTTCATTAATGGCCAAGCTGTTGGGTTTGATGATGTCCAGTGGGCATGTCTTCATGCCAGGCCTCTACAGTGCTTCTTACGACCCTACCAGCGAGCAATCATGGAAAAGAAGAAGGACAACCTTTGGGTCCCTCACAAGGTCAAGACCAGCCTTCTCTGGTGGACAAACTTGGACAACCTGACTCAGGGCAAGCAATTCTACAACCAGCAGCCCAAGGAGATTTTTACAGATGCGAGCCTGTTCAGCTGGGGAACGATCATGGAGAGCCTTGCTCAGGACAAATGGAGCCCAACAGAGGCCATGTTACCCATCAGTCTGTTGGAACTTACATCAATAAGCAGGGCGGATCCCAGTCGTCCCAACTGCACAGGGAAGCAATGAAAATTCTTTCTTGGGCAGAACAGAGCATCACGTCTATAAGAGCGGAACACATCAAGGGGGTTGACAACGTCCAGGCCGACTGGCTCAGCAGCAGCAGAGAAACCATTCAAGAAGAGGAGTGGTTGCTACACCCACACCTGTTCAAGATGATAGTAGCACAATTTGGTCAACCAGTGGTTGATCTGTTCACCACACCGACGAACCACCAGCAACCAAGGTTTTTCACCTGATATTATCACCGGGAGGCGGAGGCAATGGATGCACTAACACCAACCTGGCCCAGCGGTCTTCTCTTCACGTTTCCGCCCTTCGTCCTGATATCCAAGACCATTCGCAGGATAAGAGAGCTCAGGACAGAGGTGCTTCTAGTGACACCAGGGTGGGCACGGCACCCTTGGTTCTCGGCATTATGGGAGTTGGCCAAGTCTCCACCTCTGGTTCTCCCAGTGACTCCAGACATGCTGACACAAGGACCCATCTGGCATCCACATCCCAACTGGCTATGCTTGACTGCTTGGAAATTGAGTGGCGCGATCAAGGTCATGGAAACCACCATATCTTCCAGAAGACAGTCCACTATTCGAATCTACAACACCACTTGGAAGGCCTCTGTGCGATGGTGCAGGCACAGGAACCTCGAACCCTTGGCACCTTCGGTGGCTTCAATTCTTGCCTTTCTACAGGAGGGTCTAGACGTTGGTTTCAAGGCTTCCACACAAGCAGACAGACAATGGCTTTGTCTACAGTGTTGCCTCTGCTGGGGCGATTAAGGTAACTAAGCATCCACATGTGCAGCTTTTTGTGTAGGGTGCAACGGTAAAGTATCCTCCACAGATGCACTATTTTCCCACATGGAAATTGAATACAGTGTTGGTAGCACTCAACAAAGGACCCTTTGAACCCCTCAGGGAGGTGGGACTTCAATGGCTGTGCATGAAGACGTTCTTGATAGCCATCACCTCCACAAGGTGAGTGTCAGAGCTCAGTGTGCTCTCTG